GTTCCTGATAAGACTTTTTAAAAAACCGTTTATCATCTTACTCGCACTCCCTGGACATCTTCCAGCTTGTCAATGTCATTCTTAAACAGTGCTACCCAAAACTGGAAATAGACTTCCAGATATGGCCTGACCAAGGCAGAATACTATTGCTCACCTTCATTGGGACATAGTAATTTTGTTGATGTAACCTGGTATGGGTTAGCTTTTTTTTGGCACTGTATTAGTGTTTACTCATGTTTAGCCTATTGTCTACTGACCCACAGCTCTTCTTTATAAATACTGCCAAACCACCTGCTACTTATCCTATATTTGTGTTCCTGATTTTTCCTGCCTAGATGTAAAACTCTACATTTTTTCCTTACTGAAACTCATTCTACGGATATGTTTCGGCCCAGTTCTCTATTCTGTTATGGTAATTTTAAATCTTGATTCTTTTTTCTAAAGTATTAGTTTTGAAATACTATAAGCTTGTATCACACCACACATTCCTTCTAAAAACAGCAGGCAGATAGATACATAATAAGGTTTTTATATCTATAATCATGTCATATGACTACATTTTTTCTTGCTGCACGATACTTAATATTTTCAAAAAACAAGCATGCTAGGAATTAGTGAAAAGGTCTGCTTTATTTCCAGGATCAAAATATTACAGTAGGAAGGACATTTACATGTATTTATAAAAATGCAGCTGTTGTGTATATATATAGATCAAAGGTTGCCTTGAGTTTGGTCTTCCCATCACAGCACGCTGAAATCTTTTTCTTCCTATACCCATCATAAAAATTTCTTACGAAGAACATGGCTTCTACTAAAAATGTAGCAGATTGGTTTTATATAGCCCAGGCTAACAAAGATTTAAAGACAACTAACCAACATTAAAAGTCAATTTAATATCTTGAAGGGTATCAAATCTTGATTATAACAGTAACCCAACTATATCCTCTCATTTTAACTTATTTGTGACATTAATACCCAAACTCCTCTGTGCTCATAATGTGACTTTCGATCTTCATTTCCAGAATACCTTCTGGGATTTACCTTTAAATATTAAATTCTGCAGCTAGCGGGATACTTTAAGTGAAACTTTGTAATGTTAACTGTGGGGGTTTGATTTTTTTTTTTAGATGCAACTCTAGCTAAGAAAAGACTAGCTTCATAATTGTTTAATTTTAATGCATGAGATTCAAGATGCCTTAAAACCCACTAACAAGAATGACTTGTCATTTGGCGCCAGAAACAGGGCAAGATCAGCACATAAAAGATCTATACACAACTTTCTGTGTTCAAGTCATAAATGTTCCAAACTGTAACAGGGCTGATAGGGGAGGGGACTCTAAGACCTCAAAATGATTTACAGCACAAAATCCTGCCTCTTCAGAACTAGCAGAAGTTGTTTTCAGATATTTGAAGGTAATCAAACATGAATGGACAGCACACTTCAAATTGTTTGAGACCAAAACATGAAAAGTGAACACCTGCAACTATATTCTATCAATAGCAGCATAATATCTTTTTTTAATTTAAAGTTATTATTTACATGCTGCTTCCCTGCTCTCAAGGCACTTTATACAGGAGCATTGGTGCCAAGATTTCCAGAACACACTGAGTATTTTGGAATGACTATGTATTGCACAAATTTCTGCAAATCTTTTGAATCGTTCAAAAATCATGATGCAAAGCAGAAGATTGAGGGGTGAGATAAATGACTAAAAATCGTTAGAACATTAAGTTTTTCAAAAGGGGAAGAGCAAAAACCCATTACTTATTTTAAAAAGTTAGAGAATTGCCTAAACAGAACCTCAGATTAGTTTCTCCTGATGTCCCTGCTTCTATATTTAACACCCCACCACATCATTCCCAGTCTCTCTACAGATTTTTTAGGTAATTAGAAGAACTTGTTCACCTTGTTCTGCTGCCTTCCTTCTCTTTAGCGGATCTTACAGCATAATTCACTAAAACAATATTGATAATTAAAAGTTTATCAAGTCATTTGTTGTACCTTGGAAGAACCCATATATGAAACAAATATAATCTGCTAATCCCTTGAAATAACCATCTCAACAGTGATTTAGCAAAGGGTAATCTTCCTAGTTTCCAGATGCCATTTTGGAATAATGGCTGTAAAGTTCCTATGTGTGTAGGGGGCATTCCAAAAAAATCAGATGTGCCAGATTGCATGAGTAGAAGCCTCTTCCACTCACAATAAAGCCCCAATGGATGCAACCCCCTATTCTAAATGGAAGAATTCTAAAGAAAGGGTCCATTTATCTATATGGGATAGTGGGATATGCATGTAAGGCTAATAATATGTATTTTCTCTACTCAGGATGAGATAAGGGGGGCTGTAAGTAAGAACTGCCTTATTAATATTGATTCAGTTTGTGGAATTTTCTCCCCAAACAGACCTCCCTGGAATCAATATTACTTTGTGTTTCAATGGTAGGCAAAGGTGTGATTATTTTCCCAGCTTCTTGTTGCTTTAATTATTGAATATGTTATTTGATGCTTTGTTTTTGTTTTATTTTACCTTGTAAACCACCCTAGAAGCTATGCTTAAGAACAGTACAGATAATTTCAAAATAACTTAAAACAAATTAAAGAGTGCTGGGCATTAAGCACCAATAGCTCTTCAATAACTAATATCTACATAAATACACTGGAGGAGAAATTACTATCGAATATGAAGGAAAACTTACACAATTGGAGCCCTGAGAATTAAAAAAAACTCTTGCTATTTAGAACATTCTAAAATGGCTTAGACATGTTGCCATTGTCATTCCTCAAAACCAGAGTAATTGTTGATGCAAGGACCCTTCTTAATGACCTACCAATAAATTCAGTTATCCCTCTCTCCATATAAATTGTATTCTGTAATCCAACTAGAATAGTAGTGTGTCAGCAGCATTTACTCCTCCAAGACATCCAAAAAATATGATCTTCTAGATCTTTCATGCTAGCAGAGAGCAAGTGAAATTACTGTACCAAACTAATACAGCTCATGAAGACTAAAGGCAGTTTTTACACAGCTGACTGCTGAGGAAATATCCTCAAGAAAGTATACTTGATATTCCTCCGTATTTCCTTTTAATTGCCTAGGCATAGCAGTTACAGAACATCAGTATTGTGCTAACAACCAAGTCTCTGACACCAATTAGACCAGTGGTCCTCAGCCTTGGGCCTCTCGATGTTCTTGGACTTCAACTCCCAGAAATTCTGGCCAGCAGAAGGGGTGGTGAAGGCTTCTGGGAGTTGTAGTCCAAGAACATCTGGAGGCACAAGGCTGGGGACCACTAAGTTAGACGACCTTATATTATAGGTTGAAATGTTTGTGCATATTACAAGTGCTCAGGAAACAAAGCGCTAATGTCTTCTTCAGTCCACTTGCTGAATGTGAACAAAGGTCAATGTTACGAGCTTGAATGAAACATGACACCAATCTTATGGAGGGTAGCAGTTCTGTAAAAGAGACCATTCGAAACAGAGCTTTGGAAGTAAAGATAAAGGGTAAAAGCAAACTCAAAAGAAAAAGTGCTGAAAGCAGAGTACACAGCAGATAATGGGTTACAAAAAAGGGAGTAAAGAAAATGTGGGTGAACAAGAAAGAATCCTGAGAATAAAAGTAGAAGTAACAGGAAAGTGGAGTAATGAGGTAGAGAAGAATTCAATGTCACTTATCGATCACCAGCCAATTATTAGGCTGTAGGCTTGCAGTTTAGTTTTAACAGATAATCTTGTCCTTCACCATTCATGCTCTTTACCTATCAAATGTTTGCTGGCATTAGTTTCAAAGAAAGGAACTTCAAAATATTGATATTGCTGCCCAGATCTAATTTCCTCTAGGTGTTAGTTTGACTCCACCACTAATCTCTACTCTTCAATTCACAAACCACCAGGTACGTGATTTTTAACTTATGACCAATTGTGCCCTGTGTATTCAAAACCCACCAACACAATTACACACAGTGTAATCTCTCAGTTATACAAGTCAGTGTAGATTTGTCTCTAGAAAACGTCCCATTCTACAATGCAGAATAATACCCATTTTAAATATTTTTAAATAGGTCTAGAATACTATTGGTGTTTGCATAAGAACTATGCAACTTGTTACAACTAATTGGCAAGCTACAACTGTGCAACTCAATTCTACAACTGGAATAAGATCAGGCAAGATGTGCAGTGTCGCCTAATCAATTAGCCGTAATTAGGCGTGCAAACCTAATGTGAACACCAATAGGATTCTAGCCAAAAATTGCCTTATTTTAAGCTTGTACATGTAGATGAAACAAGTACAATGACAATATAAGATATCTTACTGTGATTAAAACCCAAACATAATTTGTTTACAAATCAAAGATAACCACAGCACACCTACCATAAAATCACAAATTTTGTTCATCTACATTTTGTAGCCAGTTAGAAGAAACCATGGCAAGCAACTGTGTCTAACCTGGAACAGTGACATGAAACTGTTGCCACAATCCCACATCACCTTACCTCGCTTATGCTGATGGAGTATTAATTTGATTTTTAAAAATTAAGATGAATGAAAAATCTTTTGGAATAATTTTTTTAAACATAGTGGCTCTACAAGTAGACCAACCCACCCACCCACCCCAAAATTCTACCCCAG